GAAGCTAAGGAGAGAAAAACAGCTGCATGTGAAGCAAAATACCACACAAACTGTTGACCAAGCACTAAGTGCAGATGGAAAGTTCCACCAGTATGGCAACGCCCGGGTGTTAAAAGTACACGTGATGCATATCTTAGCGACCACATCACTTCAGTGAGCAATCAAAGTACGCAACAGAGCATCTACCATTTATTAGTACGCTGAATAGGTTATACAGCATAATGTTATAATGACCTAAATCTCCTCATTGAAATGTTAACTACGAGCATTTGTTGAGTACAACACGAGTCAAATCAACTAATCACACGTATCTGGTTAAAACCTAGAAATTATATTTGACCTAGTTCAAATTCACCAAGACCACACTGGAAGCAGGAAGATCACATGACTTAACCGTATGCGCTAGATGCCTGTAAAGCGGACTGTTAGAAAACGGAGTGCTATCTAATTACTCCTTCTACAAAACTTCGTCAGTTGAAGTTGCATTAGTTTCTTTTCACGGAGTGTGTCAGTTTGTTGTCACTTAAGTCTGAAGGACTACTGTGTCAAGAAACCTAGTAGAGGTAACCACGAGAATTTGGGACCAAAAGGTGGTGAGTACGCTTACATCACGCTCAGATTTGATATCAAATGTTGATCTCATTATACAAAAGTTAGCATATCAATGTAGCAACAGATAAGTACTCTGCAATATACGTAATCCTACACACTACGACTTTGTAAATATAAAAAACCGGCCAGTAAAATAAGTCAGCTATGCATGATGAAATATGTAAGACTCAACTTCGTAAGCAGAGAGATGGACAACTCACTTCACCATCTGCACCGCTTTTAAAGGTATTATTCTCTATTTGAAAAGTAAAAATGCCTCATACATAACAATTCAGACACCAGTTAAGAACCACAGACCAGCGCAATGCTGAACATGGAGGTTAACATGAGTAATAAACCAGAGAAAACAATTCAAAATGTTGTATATATATGCAGGTAAATTGACATTTTTTGTACATAGACAGCATTAGTCTATGGCCAGAGCTTCCTTGGCGATAGTTCCTTTACGCAAAAATTATGCTCGAAAAGCAGGTGTAGCGCGTTGACCTCACACATCCATCTGCAAATGTTGAGATTATCTCAATCAGATTCAGATGATAAGGATAGAAGGCTCTTGTGGCCTGTGTTAATCCTTGCAAAGTATATCTCTGCAGAGATCTAACTTCTCTTTGAAAGCGTTCACCGATGGAGCTGATACTACTGAATCAGGTAAGGAGTTCCAATCGTTGACCACTCTGTGAGAGAATCTAAATTCTGCACGTATTTTAATCGTCCTTGGTTTGAGCACCTTTTTGCGGTGACCCCGTAAATGTATCCTAGAAGGGGAGAAAAGGTTAGAAAGGTCAGTTCCTAAATCACCCTTAAGTATACGGTATGCTAAAATTAAGTCGCCTCTCTTCCTTCGGTATGATAACGGGAAGAGATTTAAATGCTCCATCCTCTTATCATAAGGAAGGTGTGAGATACCACTAACTAATTTTGTTCCTACTCTCTGTACTCTTTCCAGAATATGTGCCTCCTTTTTGAAGCATGGACTCGTCGCTTGTATGCAGTATTCTAGATGAGGCCTGACATATGTTGCGTAGAGTATTTGGAACATGCCCTCGTCTAATCGTTTGAAAGCCCTTCGAATTGCCCATAGCATTCGAAAAGCTTTAGCTGCGGCTGCATTGCAATTTGCAGTTGTTTTCAAATCGTTGCTGACAATGATTCCTAGGTCCTTCTGTTCTTTAACATCAGGTAGTTCTGCATCCCCTAGGGAGTACGACGTATAAGACTTCTGACCTAAGTGCATTACCGCGCTTTTCCTAGCATTCATTTCCAAACTCCATAGGCTTGACCACTCAGCTAATTTATCTAAGTCATTTTGTAGGGCCAACCTATCCTCGTTATTGTTTACAGTTTTCCATACCTTAATGTCATCTGCAAATAATAATGAAGATGAAGAAAGAATCCCTGGTAATTCGTTAACGTATAATAGGAATAGCAATGGACCTAATACAGTTCCCTGGGGCACTCCACTGGATACTGCTTTCCATCCTGATAGTACACCATTAACTCTAACCTTCTGCCTTCTATCCATTAAGTAATCTCTAAACCACTCACATAGGCATTGGTCTAGTCCGAAACCTTTCAGTTTACTAAGGAGACCTAAGTGGGATACTTTGTCGAACGCCTTGCTAAGATCAATAAAAACCACGTCCAACAGATGGTCCCTATCTCTGGCCTCAACCCAGTCTTCCCTAGCCAATAGTAGGTTTGTCAAGCAGGATCGTCCTGGTCGGAATCCATGCTGTTCCACAGCCAACAAGCCATGTGTTTCAACATAAGCTAATAGTTGATCCCTTATAATAGTTTCCAGTACCTTTGCAATAATGCATGTCAGACTTACCGGCCTGTAGTTAGATACCAATTGCCTATCCCCGTCCTTGAAGATAGGGCTTATAATGGCATCCTTCCAGTCCCTGGGTAGCTTAGCCTGCGTCAGAGACATTTGGAAAATCTCCGTAAGCGGAATATATATTATATCCGCCAAGGAAATTAACAGCTTAGGGTGAAGTCCATCCGGCCCAGGTGATTTACCTGGCTTCAGTTTAGACAGTAGTTTGAGAACCTTTGTGTGCTCTACCACAATTGAGGGCATCTGAGTGGCGATGGCAGTGACCTCGCCATATCCCTGGGTGGTACTATCAGACGAGAAGACGTCACAGAAGTATTCAGAGAGGTTTTCAGCCTTTCCTTCGTCTGACTCAGCCGCTTCTCCACTAATGGTTATGAGTGACGGTATACCACTGCTAGTTTTAGTCCTACGTTTAATATACGAGTAAAACCTTTTTGGGTAATGAACGCAATCTAGTACTAATCGTCTCTCGTACTCTATACGACTCTTGTTAATCGCATACTTACAGAGGTTTCGAGTTTTGCGGTAGTCTTTCTGGAAGTTTTCCCTTCCTGTCATAACAAATTGGTCCCATAAGTTCTTTCGCCGTCTTAATAACCTCCTTATTTCACTAGTGATCCAAGGAGGTTCATGCGACGGCTTTCGAGGAGTGTACCAAGGTATAAAAGGTGAAGTGACACGATCTAGTGTATTCCTAAATCCTACCCAAGCTTCCTCGACAGTCTGACTTGTATCAACTGACCAGTCAACCACAGTTGCTGCGTTCCGGATTCCTTGTATATCCGCTTTCCAAATGTTTGGACGAGCAGATTTTGGCCTGTGCATGAGAGAATGAATCCTAAACGTAAAAGCAATGACTATGTGGTCACTGCTGCCAAGCGGCGGAAGGCACCTAATGTTACCAACGTCCTCCTTCTGGTGTGTCAATACCAAGTCTAGAGTAGATGGATCATGTTCAGGGTGATACCGTGTTGGTGCATGCATATGTTGCACGAGTGCACATTCAAGCACTGTCAATGTGAGCTCCCTATTGAAACAGGTATACAAACTAGTGGAGTTTAATTCCCCCCAATTAATATGTGGAGCGTTAAAGTCGCCAACAATCAGACACCTATTTCTACTACCCCACGCCCTCAAGTGATTTAGAACGAAGTCATCAGCTTGGCTAGCAGGACTTCTGTAAATAACTCCGATCGTTAAAGTGCCTTTGTTTAAGTTAATGATGCAACTTGCGGCTTCACTGGTGCCGCTGTCATGAGCTTCTGACAACGTTGACCTGATCCCTATGTCATCCCGGATGTAAAGAGCAACCCCCCACCTTTCCGACTACTTACTCTGTCTGCTCGTATGCAGATATACCCAGGTCTGTCTGTCTGGATTCAACATAGAACTTGGCACCGAAGTGCACCAGTTCGAGTTGCCACGTTCCAAATAGCACACAGAGGTAGACAAGAAGATGAGTGAAGAGAGTCAATAGAGTTTGACAAGTATAAGAGTGAAACAGAATGGGTAATGGTAGAAAGGAATATGAAAGATTAGAGAGACTGAATACATCTGCGCTGGCCATTGACAACGATTTTGAGCCATGTCACCTATTGTCTCCAGCCATTGATTCCTAGAGTCCCGAGGGCCCCAACCCGGGAGTCTGCATCTCCCTACCTGACTCAGTTTAACTGTCAAGGATTTCATGGATTGATGAGGCCATGTTTTTGTTTGGACACCATTTACTCTTTTCCAACCTGAACCTATATCAGCTAGCAAAGCCCGTCGGGGGAGGCGGTGGTTAGGCATGCGCAGCACGTGACCTAGCCATCTTAGTCTATGTAACTTTATAGCCTCGTCGATTGATTTTCCCTCTTTGCCCAACACTCTGCGCCTAACGTCAACATTACTTATCTTGTGAAACCACCTAACGTGAGACAGAGATCGCAGACATCTATGATCGAAAGCAGTCAACCTTTTCATGTCTTCAACGCGTGTTGGCCATGTTTCAGAGCCATAGAGAAGGACGGAGCGAACTGATGAGCAGTACACACGTCCCTTGGTTGATAACCGGATGTCACGCCTACGCCAGAGATGGTGTAAGTCAGCGAAAGCAGCTCGAGCTTGGAGTGGAGTTAAGTCTACACCCACTAACAACCACGTCTCAGTGATAGCAATTACATCAGGTTGTAGTCTTTCAGATAACTCTCCTAATTCAGCGAGCTTATTCCTAAGACTACATGCGTTCGTATAGCACACCGAAACACCTACGTGTTTACCCGGCTTATGAAGAGAGGTCTCGGCAGCATCGGTTTCCGAGACCTCACCACCCGAAAACCCAATAGTTTGAGGTCCTTCTCGCCTTTCTCTAGCCTGGCCTTTAGTTCAGCCACGGCTTCTCTTCTTTTGATTCTATCTTCCTGTGGTGATTGACAATTTCTATCTCTGTATTGTTTAAAATACTTACTGTTGACTGTTGATATGTTTCTTATATGAATTGCATAATAATGCCGCTAAATACAAATTACTGATTGCTGCCCTCTCTGAGTTTTGTTTGGATTCGTGTAATTCCGTCATCTCGAAATACTAATATTACAAGTGCAATAAATTACTACAAATTGGCGTCGCGATGGAGCTAAGTAACCTGGGAAAATTCCCCATTAATGGGTCTCCGCGGGAGATTGCTGATTATTTGGAATGCTTCGATGCGTGGTGCATTTCCAAGAATGTTCGGGATGACAAAATACCTGCTCATTTCATCACTGCTATTGGGCTTGATGCATATAGCCTGGTGAAGAATCTGGCGTTTCCAGATAAACCCATTTCTATGTCATATGACAAGATCCGTGAGCTTCTGACAAATCACTTTCATGTGACTACATTTGAGACGAGAGAGAGGGCTCACTTCAACAAACTGGTACGTTCTCCCAACCAGAAGACTAGAGACTTCATTCTTCAACTTCAAGCCTCAAAGTGTAATTTTGGAGATCAGCTGCATACACAACTACGTGATCGTCTAATTGCTGGAATCAACATTCCTAAATTAGAGAAGGAGTTAATTCAGATTCCTTCTTGTACGTTTCAAACTGCTAAAGATGTATGTATCACATATGAAGATGTCAATAATGAATACTCTGCTCCTACTACGTCAATGTCTGATGTTATGCTTTCTAAAGTCGAAAATACAAGTGGGTCATGGAAAGCAATCCAAACTGCCGTCCACAGGTAATAGAATGCAGCCAGAGATCAAAAACATTAAACCATGTTTATCCTGTGGAAAGTTACATCTACGAAGCACTTGCCGTTTTAGGGGTGCTAAGTGTCACAAATGTGGTAAAGTTGGACACATCAAGACGGTTTGCAGAAGTTCGAATACTTATGTGGCTCAACATTCTTATAATTCTCCCAAGCTGTCTAGTAAAATGGAGTCAATGTGTCTTTCAACCTTTCAAAATACTCAAGCTAATCCGATGAAAACCTCCACTACAAGTTTTATTTTTATTTTATTTTTTTTTTTTTGATTTACAGCTTGATTCCACACTGTATTTTTGGTACAAGTATGGAATTTTCAGCATGGATATCGGTAGCCCAAATTTTGCAGGCCGACCACAGATATCAGGTGTGCGCCGGCGTGGGCTCGAACCCCGGACCATGTGCATGGTCGGCGAGTCCTAACCACTATGCCACCGACGCATAGTGGCAACTCAAGTGTCAACTGTTTTCAAAAATGAGGTAGGTGAGTTACAATGTGAACTGTCGAAAACACGAAAAGACCTGAATGAGATGAGAGAGCAACTGATTAAAATTGAGGAATTACTGCATATGCATAAACCGCGTCTGTTGAATGCAGAGCATACAAGTACCCGTGAAAGTCCTGCAAAACTTTTCAAATCTCGAATTCTCAAGAAGCATCTGATGTCCACGACTTCTAATGTACATTATCACAAAGATAATAACTACAGACCTTCTGTTGGAATTATACTACAAAAAATGGGAAATCGAGTGGTGAAGATATTAGACATCAAAGATCACTCAGTTCATAACGGACACCTGGACAAAGTGACAATAAATGAAGTAGGTCGTTCCAATTATAATATTATTGATTCCGCTAATAATCCTGATTTTGTAGATAATTCAGAAATAAGTCCAGATAGTACTGATGAAAATAATATCACAGAATCAGTTAGGTCGAAGCTACTTGCAAGCAAACCGAGACATCGTTATAAATACGCAAGGAGATATCCGAGATGCGGCGGATGTGGTGATTGACAATTTCTATCTCTGTATTGTTTAAAATACTTACTGTTGACTGTTGATATGTTTCTTATATGAATTGCATAATAATGCCGCTAAATACAAATTACTGATTGCTGCCCTCTCTGAGTTTTGTTTGGATTCGTGTAATTCCGTCATCTCGAAATACTAATATTACAAGTGCAATAAATTACTACACTTCCAAAGGCCAATCAGGCCTTATTTTTTGGACTTTTGTCGTTGACTTTGAACGCGTTGTCGAGGACGGTCCTCCTCTCTGTTTCGTTCCCTAAAACTACCTTAAGTAGTCGTCGAGGAGTTCCTGTAGCATCAGGGTTTCGTTTTCCGATCCTGATAGCCTTTCGTACGTGTACTCCAGTTGTTTTTTCGGGAAGTATTTCCCAGAATATGGAGCTGATCGCCTTCAGATCATCTGCATGTCGGGCAGCTGGATCTGTGTTCTTAGATTCCTCCAAGTTCCAGATGATAATACTGTAACTAGAGTCCGTGGGTTTCTGAGTTTTGCTGGAACTAACAGTCGTCGAGACCTTGTTGGTAAACTCGGCTACTGTTTCTTTCCTAGTTTTGTTTTGCTTCTTACCTTTCGGCAGCAACCAAGTGGAGTCCGTTTCTCCCACTCTGTTTTCGCCGCGACTAGAAGCCATTCGTGCACTAGACACGCTGCGCTTTGGCGTTGCTATTTCACAGGCTGGTTTTGCCATGCTGGCACTACTTGCCCTTCTGGATTTCCGTTGCCTTTTGCGCTTTGCAGCAACAGATGTCTGGGCATTTTGTGCTTCTTTCGATTCTGAGACTTCAGGAGGTGATGCACCCTGAATCTTACAACTATGTCCTGAACCGCCATCCTTGGCGAAGGTTTCTGGTATAGGCTTTTCAACTATGTCTTTCGACAATTTCTTGGACATCAAGAGTCCTACTGCCTCTTGGATGAGGACATCTAACGGGTTGCTGCAAAATTTGCACAGCCATGGAGATGATGGCTTGCAACATCTCTTATAGGCTACTGGTGTTAAACCAGTGCAAACTTTGTGGAACCAAAGGCTGCAGTTGTCACACTGCATCCCATCATCCACCGGAAAGTGGCAGTCCGGTCGACCACAATTGTTAGTTGGGGCCACAATTTTAATTTGTTACAACTATACAGTTATATATACGTGAAAACAGTGAGGTTAATGCCAAACAAATACACACTTATATATACGTGTGACAGCTAGGTCAATACCAACCAAAACACAAAATGTGAATAAAACAGACAACACTTCAACTACATAAATCAGTTTAAGTGAACTGAAAGCTTCTGATGTGGTTTAAACAACAAAAGTAGAATTTATTTCACAACGTAAAAAATGCCACTCTCCTTTTTCAAAGCAGCCCTCATTCATAACCGCGAGATGAGCAGAGTCCAATATAATCATCGGTCAATTGGTACGAAACCTAGTGACGAAATTTAAATATGTCAATAAGCTTACCAAGAAGGTCATCGTTAGTGATAATTTCAGAGGATTTAATCGCACTCAAAGCTCTGATCTGATCTACAAGGTACTTTTCCATCTAACAAATCGCAAAAAATGTGAACAACCATACCTTATCCATATCATTGAAAATGTCTGAAAGTGCGGGAATATTCACAGGTATTCGAATTTCAGACTTCTCTATCATAATTTCAGACTCCTTGGGTGTCGGAGTCTCCAATTGGGTCTGAAATTGAAGAATTAGCCAGAACATGCAACTCACAAGTGTATTAAGAGTATCTGCGAAATACTTTTTGTGCAAATCAACTATTTTATCTCTGCAGTTTTTCCGTTTCTCCCAAACACGCAACAATTCGGAATTACAAGCGTCACTGCCTTCCATTTTGAGTGTAGCGCCTTTTCAATGTGATGTCCAATTCGCGCAAACAAAATTAGTAAGAGCATTAGGAATCAAAAAGATTTCAAAAAACAGGAAGTGATGATTTTTTAACGGGCTTTTTCACTAATCATTGGCTGGGTGTTCGTTCATTGCATATTCTCTTGCGCAGAATATGGGTTAAGAGTGTACTGTCGTTTTACTCCTCCTGAGTGGTGGCTAGTACAGCTTAAACTGTAAAAATTGGTAAACACTTACACAAGAAACTGACAGCAAATAGAGAAGAATAAGATTATGCATGTTGGCGGATGCCCGTATGATTTAATTACAAATCTGCATCTCTCCGTCTTAATAAGGTAGTTGGTACTGACTCTTTCGAATCTTGTAAGAAATCGGCAGGGCACGACTGTAAATTTACTCCCTTTTATTTTTATTAGTTGATTGAGGAAGCAGGAGAAGTTAATTTCGTCACCTCATGTTTCAATTTACTGTCGGAACATCCTGAAGAAAATAAGTCAAAATTATTCAGATGATATCTACTAGTCCCACATTCGTGACCCTTCATTATTCACTTGGGTTTCCTACTATTCACGATCCCAATTGCGTTTCAGTTTTAAGGTGTAAACCTTAATAGATGGAGTATAACTGATTTTCGCCGGTCATGATTCTGAGTTGAACTTCAGTAGAAACCATACACCCTGTAGGTTCTGCTGCTGGTTTATGTTCTAATGCTTGAAACTAACGGTATTCGCACATCTCTAGGGTTGTTTGGTGACAGCGAAATTCTTTTCATGGTAAAAGGCTAAATAACTGAGTCTGTCACACATGGAGCCTAGAAGACGCACACGTCGATTTGTCTTCTATACCCCTTGTGACCTAAATTCATTTTCATCATAGCTCCGAATATTAGTAAAAGTTTGAGCATTATTTCCCACTTCATTCTTCCCACTTTGCAAGTCGAATTGAATAGTAATTGTTGCTGTGAAATCTTACGCGTCAAAATACAACCGTGCAGATTTTCAGGATGAAATCTTCGTAAAAATATGTTAGCTAAAATTCCCATTTTCATTTTAAGCTGACACACTTCATTTTAGGAAGCAACACAAGGATTATGCATAAATAGTGCAGACTTTTGTGATATTTAAGGCTTTCGCCGATCCAATCTGTAAACGAATTAGGATGGTAGCTACAGGTTACTCGGTATGCTAATCATCTCTTATGATACCAGATAATCGTCACATAAACCTTTTCAATTTTATTGCATCTTTCTCCAGTCAAGTGGTACCCCTGTGTTTGACGATTAGACGGGATTCCTACTGTAACGTCATATAACTGAACAGTATGCTAATGTGATCCCAGCCTGGTTTATCAAAGCTCGACATGTAGAAATAGTTTGTTAAACATGTAATTATAATGATAGCTGGGAAAACATGCGGCATTTACACTTACCTGGTGTTCAAAGACGGCTTGATAATTTATTTCCTAATGCATGAACACTATTTCTCACATGACAAAGAAGAAACACATTAAATATATAGTGGAGCTGGGAGGTAGTTCAACATTCTGAGCTTCTAGAGGATTAGCAAACTGTTGTTACTTTTATCTTTTTGGAATAGGTATGCACCTGATATTAACAATTAACAGACTTAAGTTCGATCATCCATCCAGATAACTATTGCAAGTACTCTTTGCAATATGATGGTTAAGATAAACACGTACTTCATTACGATATTAGATTCCAGCATCCACAATTTTCAGCAGTGAACGATTAACTAAAACCGATGTCTTGCAGCTTCGTGCATCGGTGGCACAGAAGTAGAATGCTCGCCTACCATGCAAGTGGTCCTGTGTTCAATCTCCGACTGATGCACTTGCATACCTCTCTTAGCTGGTGATTAAGTAGAAAGATCAGGCATGAGGCTAGCAACCCCACCCCGTAAAAATATACACCACTGCTATCGAAACTTCAGGGCTTTAGCTTCAAGCCCAATGTTCACCAGGAACGGAAAGCAATAAATAATATATAGTATGCCTGCACCTTCGGTTCTGCGGGTTAGTAGTCAAATACCCACAGGTCTTCTTGTACGGAACATCATATACGCGGAGTAAATAAATATAGTGGTTGAGGCAACCGGTCTCGCAGGTTAACACCTATGTTCACCCGACGGTTCCTCCCTTTTCTTTCATGCTGGGTACTTGATGCATTGAAATCAAGTCTTACCAGACAGTTACTAATTGCTTTCTAACCCATTTTTATGTCAAAAGGATGCACGGAACTGCCGTAAACACCTCCATCTATCGAATGTGGGACATTTCGTCGACTCCAGAGATGATATGAGTTTGTAATACCACAGAAGCCGTTTGCATTCTTGCTGAGACTTCACCAGAAGTCAGCCCATTGAAGTTCATGCGACTTCTAAGATATGTGAAGTGATGAGCACACTCTAACACTTTACATCCTATTTTCAAACTGGGATTCAGTGGAGACCAAGAAAAGATACTGAAAAGGAAACGTATGAAATACGTTTGGCAGGAACGAATATCACCCCAAACATAATAGCATTAATGCCAATGGTGTTCAGAGGCACATACATTTCGTCGGTGTCTTCGACCAGCGAGACAATATCATCCACATACTCCAAGTGGACGCGAGAATATTTTGGTTATGAGTTACCTTCTAAGTTGCTAAAGTTAACTAAGACCACATCCACCAAAAAATCTACAGTTGTGATGCTAATGTATCCGAGAAGAAGATATCCATGGATGTTACTTCGTATTTCACCAACGTTCCCCTCACTGAAACTACCTGCTTTGTATGGATATTCACTGAGGATAATAATGTACACGTAGGTGTTCCGATCCATTAATTAAAGGGACTACTATTGAGGTGCACTCTAAATGTCCACTTCAAGTTCAACAAAACGATTTATAGACAGAGAGATGGAGTGGAAATGGGGTCACCATTGGGTCCCATACTTGCAGACTGCTTCTTGGCTAGTTTGGAGAATAGTATTTTACGATCAACAGTTTCCATGTGTACCAAAGATACATGGGCCATTATTTATTATTATTTTATCCTTTAGTTCCGAGAGGAACATAGGGCGTCTCCATTGCGTTCGGTTCCCTGACAACGTTCTCACCTCACTCCAAGTCTGCTCACACGCTTTCATCTCCTCCTCACATTACCTTCTCCAAGTCACCCTCAAGCTGACGACCAACTCGCTTCCCGCTTCCCTTTCGGGTTCCACTCGAGCAATGGCTTGTCAACTGATGTCACTTGATGGTTTCCTCAGAGTATGACCAATCCTGAAGTTGGTAAAAGATAGTGTCAATCAATCTATGAGCAAGTTTGCCAATATATTGAATCTCACCCCTAGAATAGAGCAGTCTGAGATCAAAATGCAATCATTGATGACGAGTAGGCCTCAGAGAGGTGGATATCGGGAAGACTCCATGATGTCTAGTAATGCATATAGACCTAGTGAGTGTAACAGGTTTCGTAGTACATCGTCAACTGATAAGCTGCAAGATGCAAGACACACACGGTTGTGTTTTACACGTTTTCAAGGGGTGCATAGAAAGGGGAGCTGGGAACCAGTGAGCAAGTTCAGTGATAAGCTAAATGTAAACTCCAGGCCTGACTCCGAATTGTGTGACGATAACGGTGTTGTGAAGAAGTCTGTAGTTGCAACTGGTAAGCCGTTGTTGAATAGAGTGTCACAGAATAGAGTTACTGCTTCAGAGTGCAGTTCTGACTCCAAAAGTTTACAAGGTATTACTAGTCAGAGTGAAGATATAAAACCGTTAATGATTTGAGAGGAGGAACCAAAATTGTCTACTTCTGTTATTAAAGAGTTTGAAAATGATGAAGTTGACGGTAAAGTGAATATTCGTGATAATGATCATGATACTTCACAGTTGTCTTTGGTTGATCATTATGAGATGAGGGATATGCCTACTACTGCTAAGTTAAATAAAGGTTCTGTACAACTACAACGTGAAGTAGAATTGAACGCAGATGCAGTTCCAAAAGGTGTGCATACTTGTGAGACAGTCAGTGTGAATGATCAGTGTGTAGCCCACCTATCATCAGATGATAGTGCTAAACCCGAACTAGTAGTGAAAGACAGCAGTGGTAGTAATCTTGCAGTTGGACAAATATCTGAGAGTCAAACAAGAACAGCTTCTGATCCACCACTAAGTTCATCACATTGTGTCACTCAGTCATCGTTGGTGCTGTCATCCACAATGAAACAGACACCCATCAACTCAAGTATCTTGTGCAATGACTATGGTAGTATCAGTTCGTTTGAAAGGACGAATATCAATGGTCAGTTTAGTGAGGATAAGCCAAGTGTAAAGGAGAGAGTAATTGTTAAATTGACTTGCACGAATAAAGGCATTTCTAGTTTTAAGTTACTATTTGAATGCTATTATCTTTGGTGTAAATTACTCTGTGCCTACGCTTGGTTGACCAGATACTTCGTGTGTTTGTTCGTCATCTATGTTCTACGATACAATGACATGAGCGTGTTACCGTTCAGATTTGAGGATATAGCTGATAGAAGGAAGTCAGCAAATGAAATCTGCGACGATTTTCCAACCTAGAGCGTCAACCTGAGAAGGGTTATAGGCGTACTGCTGTAAGTCCTACAGTTCTTCAAAGGGTAGCGCATCAATGAGCAGCCCAATGTGCTCGGTGTGTGATCTTGTACATATGTTCATATTGTATATACTGAATTGATATCATCTTTCAACTTTATGTTGGTAATTCTGTTTGTGTCCGTACGACTTCCACTTGGATCATTAACCTGAGAGGGAATGTAGGCGTACTGCTGTAAGTCCTACAGTTCTTCAAGGGTAGTTTGTCATGTCAGAATCCACAACATTTGATGTGTTGATTGTACATATGTTTGTGTTAAATAATTGTGTGAGTTCCAATTGATGTAATTGTTGGTTAATCCTGTTTGTGTCTGGACATTCCACAACTTACAATCGTCAACCTG